GCTTCAGGGAAGCCTCCTGAAGGTCCCTGAAGCCTCCGGAGGGTGTCCAGGGGGGCGGGGGAGGCTGTTTTTGCCCTCCCCAGGCTCCTATAAAGCCTCTGGAGCCTGGGGAGGGCGAAAAAAGCATGCAAAAAATGGAGGGTTGCGCCTGTAGTGCACGCATGCGCACGGGGGGGGGATGTCGCTCATTGCATTATGGGAGTGGCATGCCCGCACACGACCCCCCTGCGCTCCCCCCACTTATGGCACGCGAGCCAAAAAAGGTTCTCCATCGCTGATCTAGACATTTTAATCAAACATGTAATGGAAATTCTTGGACATTTATTTGTTTTTGGAGGTGGTGGTTGGTGGAATTGACAAGTAAAATGAGGAGTTAATCCTAAAAATTCTAAACAAATGATTTCCAATTTAAGGGAATTTTAAGGGGGAAAATTAGTGTCTTTTAACCTCTGGTAAACTAAATTGAAGTTGCTTAGTAGAATTAAATATTTTATCTTCCTCTAATTAAGATTTCTTAGTCAGAAGAACAGACAGCAGGAAAAAATATAGCTCAAGCCAGTGGTGGGTTGCAAATCCCTTTCCAACCGGTACAGTTGCAATGCGGCCGGTGATGTCCACATGGACGCGTGCAGAGTGCGGCTGCGTTCAAGCGCCTCTGCGATGCTCCAGCTACTCTGCGGAGCGTCGTGCAGGCGCTATACGCACCTGCGCAGCAGCACAGAACCCTTTAAACACTGGTAAGGAGCTCAGGCGGGCAGGTGGGCCCTCTGGAGCACCGTANGGTGGGGGGGGGGTGTCGCACGCATAGATGTATGGCACCACAAACTCTGATCCATTCGTTACGGATGGTGAGCTGGTGCCTTTAAGGGTTCGCTGCCAGTCAGCTTCCCACTCTCCTGCAGTTGCTCTATTGCCCACAGAGCCAGCCGGTTTTTACTCATGGTTCTGCCACCGTTAATTTCCCTTCTATTAGTTGGATCCTGTGGTCTCAAGCAATTATTCCCCTCTGGAGCACCTCTCCGTGCCTCTTTTTTGCATGAAGGCTGAGTCAAAACTGGGCATGCGCGGTAGGAGGCAGGACTAAAGAAATGATTGACTCAGCCTCAAAGCAAGAAAGCAGAGGGACACCTATGAATTGTATTATCCTGTCAGCACGACGAAGAATAACAAATATTACGAGGACCAAAACTAAACACAAATTTATTTCATTAAAATCTAAGGGTCCCTGGTCCCCCCACTGTCACATTAAAATTATATTTGGGTAATCGCTTACACAAGAGCCTGTGGAGTTGCACACACAACTGAGGAATTTCAGGTTATGAATATTTATCCAAAACTAGTACTGTGTCACAAGTGTTATTACACAATAGCATTTTGGACAAATGTTCCATTCCAGAACAGAATGTTTCTCTGCTAGTCCGTCTACCACATGCACAGATAAATTAACCTAGACCAGAGGAACAGAACATTTCACGCTTCCCCACTTAATAGGAGTAAGTGCATGTTAATCAGAATTCCAGCCAACCGTAGCCTTCTCCAGCCAACCATTCCATCTCTCTCCATCACTGACAACACATCCAACACTCTCCATGGCCATCGCTATGCTTGTTCCTTGCTGGATTGTTTCTGGTTAGACTTACGTTTTGCCTAATATGGCCTTAAGAAAAGAAGCATTTGTATTTTTGCAAATCTAAGAAACAAAGAAGCTTCTATACACTCGATTTCTATTTGACATTGGAGGAAATGATGTCAACTTTCCAGAAAAAACATTGCAGGAAAAGAACCACCCTCCTGACTCACATTGTTCTTGGCGTTGGGCTTCATGCCNGAATTAAATATTTTATCTTCCTCTAATTAAGATTTCTTAGTCAGAAGAACAGAGAAAGCAGGAAAAAAAATATAGCTCAAGGGTAAGACAGGCCATATATCACTTAAACGGGACACATTTTCACAAGTTGCATTTTCAAGCATGTGAGTCTTAAAACAGATTGTAAATTTGGAGGTGGAATTTGAGCCTTGTTAAAAACAAACTTCTAGGGAGAGAAAACTGTATCATGGACTTGGATTAATACCTTTCACTTATTACTTAAGATTTCAGTGCTAGATAATTGCAACATACTTTAGCTTCTCCCAGTATTGAATGACTGAAAGCTATAGCTGACGCAGAGAGCAGATGGCTGAATTCAAGGAAATAGGTCGTCACGTAGGCGCTAGCAAAGGGTATCAGCATTCAAAATGGGAGGTGTGACTGGATGATCAAAATCCTGCCTCTTTTAATATGCATTGCAAATATATTTGTGTCTCTCATACACACAAGTAAAATGAAGAGGGTCTTTAATTGCCCCAACCATGTCCATGATTTTTATTTTGTCAACATTGCCCCACACCCTCTACAGAGTGCATCAGTATCAATGGAGTTCCTCTTTTTTCGGGGAAACCATTAAAAGCCATATAAAGTCACACTGAATTATCACCGAAATTTTCTGGATTAGAACTCAGTCCTTACTACAGTCTTTTCCAACATGGTGCCTTCCAGGTATCTATATATAGTCCTCAATTTACAGCTATATTACAGGTTGCCTTTATTTGTGGCAGTCATTAAGAAAACCCATAATGTTCACTATAGGGCATTTTTGCCAAACAATGGAAATAAACACAAGTTCTTGGCCAAAATGTGAATATGGGATGCTATAAAAGTGGACCAGTTGCTGAATGCCAGAAATACAATCACATTAAAGGGGAGGGGGAGGCATTGGAACTTCAGAACTGGGTCATAATAGCTTTTGGGAGAAGGGGTCCATGATTTCAAACAGTCACTAAGCGACTGATTGTAAGTCAAGGACTACCTGTATTTACAACTCCCAGTGTTTCTACCCCACATGTCCAATAGGGAAGTTGCAATCCAGCCAGGTTTGAAGGAAGTTATCACTGGGGAAAGGCTATTTTATTATCACTCAGTCAGAAGATCCCATCTTAAACAAGATCCAGTCATCCGCCGCCCACTTCAAATAGCTGTGGCTCTTAAATTATTCCTGCTAAGATATTACCTTTTTCATGACCAGAACCCTGCATTTGAAAAGAAGGTGAATCCAATTTTTTCTTTGCATCTAGAAAGGTGTCCGAAATTCACAAATCTCCAACAGATGGCCTACAAACAATTCATACCATCTTTTCTGTGTTCCCTGTTCTGTCCTGGCTGCAATATTGCCCAGTGAGGTTGTCCCGTTGTGTATAAATATTTCAGAATGTAGAGTCATTGCCTAGCAGAGTGATATAGCAACCCCAGATGATTTAAACCGTCTTATAACTAATCCTATACATGTTACTAGACTGCTGGGGGCTAGATTACACAGAGCAGCATTTCTAAACTAAGATATAGATAATACTAAGTAGCTTCCTCTTTCTATTGCTAGCTTGGTTCAATCACCTGCATGGTGTTCTGGAGCACACATGACTACCAAGATATAGTGCCTTATAATTGATGGGGGACTGAGTCAAGTTATACAAAGTCCTTGGCTGATGTCAGAAAGCTGAAACAGAATTAGTTCGATGGGATGCATCGACAAAATCCCGCAGGTACAACTGGAAGTAGAGGTAGTATTTTTGCGGAAGACAATGGCAAGCCATGTCTATACTGTTACCAAAACGTCTACACAGGTTCTCTGTGTAATCTCCAAGAGTTGAGCTCAGCTCAAAGAGGATCCTGGTCCTTTTACAGGCAAGTCCTAGACCAGTGATGGCTAACCATTTTTTCCCTCGGGTGCCAAATGCATGCGCACTCGTACCCACACCCATAGTGCAATGTCCCCATATGCCCCGCCCCCTGCGTATGCAAATGCAATCCTTGTGCATGAGCACGAAACCCCACTCCGTTTTGGGTCTAGCAAGCCTCCTTGAAGCTGTTACAGGTGTTATGTCTGCTTTGCATGCAGCTTTATTCCTCTTTAGCATTCATCTACTCTACTTTGTTTTGTGATGTATTTCCTGCCTCTCCAGAATTTACCTCTATCTGCTCCTGTGAGGCACTTCCTATTCCTGTTGTATGTATATATATTCTTGATGGCTTGTATAGTGTTTTAACTGCATTTTCATTAAACTACTTGAAACAGAAGCCTCCTGGAACCAGATCTGAGGAGCACGGCCTGTTTTTGTTCCCAGGAGGCTTCAGAGATGCCTGCTAGGCCCAAAACGAGGAAAAAGGGGGCACTACATACCCCTGCCCCCCACACATGCATGCACGTCTCCCACGTGCAGCAGAGACCTGAAAAATCAGCTGGCCGGCGGGAGGCGCACTGCATGCGCAGTGGGGCTGGGCTGGGCAACGGCCGGCGTGCCTACAGTGAGGGCTCTGCATGCCACCTGTGGCACATGCCCTAGGTTTGCCATCACGGTCCTAAACGTACGATCACAATTGAGCCCAAAATGTCACTTGTTAAGTGAGACATTTGTTAAATGCATTTTACCCCACTTTATAATCTTTGTGGCCTCAGTTGTTAGGTGAACCACCGGAGCTGATAAGTTAGTATGCCAGTTGTTAAGTGAATCTGGCTTCCCCTTTGGCTTTGCTTGTCAGAAGATTGCAAAAGGTAATCCACATGACCTTGGGACACAGCCATAGTCATAAATATGAACTAGTTGCCAAGCATCTGAATTTGATCACATGATCATTGGGGTGTTGGAAAGCTTGTAACTGTGATAAGTCAATTGTTTCAGTGTTGTGGTAACTTTGAACCATCACTAAATGAACTATCGTAAGTCGAGGACTGTCTGTATTAAAACCTAGCAAGCCATAAGAGCGCAATATTCCTTTCACCCAGGTTGCTCAAACCCATCTGGAGGGCATCAGATTGGAGAATTTTGTTTTCAAGAATAAATCCTTAAGGAAGTCAAATTGTTCCCATATTTCAAAGCTTTAGGCAACCATAGAGATTGCTTTTAATTGAGAAGTTTTATCCTGCTCTTTTGATGTTTTATGCTATCCTTAATTGAGTTTTTCAAAGTTAATACAGCTTTGGACAAAAAGGGATTTGATAAATATTNTTGTGGCATCGGGTAAACTCTATGTTGAAATAGGCGACCAAGGCATGGATGTAGTCATTGCGCTTCACTTGGAGACAGAAGGGGGATGTGAAGGTGAGATCCTCCACCTTCACTGTGTAGATGTCTACCTCCTGCCACAGGTGAAGAGGAAGGAGAGAGAAAACAAGACAGGTTGAAAAAAGTCAACACACCTTCGTTATCCTCACAAAACAATATCTATCGTTCTTTCTAATAGCAAGTTCCTGCAGATTGCAAAAGTAGCAATCCTTTAGAGCCAAAACAGTAACATCTGAAAGCCAAATATTTGGAGGCATCTTGAAATAAACTAACATTTGACACAAAAAGTGAGCAATTTGTAAATTTTTAAAGTGTTTATGCATCTGTGTAACCTCACTGGTAGTCTACTCTAATCTGGGCCATACGGTGACATATATCGAATCTGATTGTTTCCCCCTTTTTTCTCTGGGGAACAGAAGAGAACACTCCCTTGCTGCTCTTCAGTAAAGCAATCTAGCATTTGTTCTTAATCTCCATTTTCCTATTTCCATCATCTTCTCCTGGTTACATGCCAGGGCTCTTCTCTCTTGCCTACAAAGTTCCCAAAAGGGTCATTTGCATGCATAATCCAAACCGGCAAGTGTTGCAGAAAGAAAAAGCATAGAGAGGGCCCTGCCAAAAAAACAGGCGAAGCAAAAGGAAAAAAAAAAGATAATGTTCTTAATGCAGTGACAGGCACGTAAAATCTTTATCCACATGACATCTAAATACCCAGTAAGATTAAGAAAGATTTAAAATGCTTCATAGTAAATCCTCTGGGCTGGCACTATATTTCCTCTAAGTTCTGAAAAGTTCCTGGAATGCTGCTGTGAGCAGCCTTCTTTGGGGATAGCTTAATGTTCCCCTTAATCAGGATCACTGTGCTTGATATTGCTCAATGATTTTTATTCACTGATCTGAAGACCCACTACAACAGAGAAAGGTGATCAGTGCTAGAAGCAACATATGAACAGTGAGCACCTAATGCTATTTTAGACAGGGTCTTCATAGCAATGGCGGTTAAGAAAATCAAGGGCAGAAAAAGAAATTACCNCCATTCTTTTTTCATCCTGCACTGTTTAGCCACTCAGACTGAACAGGCACTGCATCACAGGATTAACTGAAGGATATGGACTAAAAGATGCATACAGAAGCAAGAAAGAAGAAACAAGAATGTAAACTAATTCTGTGAAGGGGGCAAAGAACCAGAAAGTAGGTATAGTCTACATCTAGAACTTATGGGAAATGATGTTTAGTTAGTCCTAGCAGTGTGAGAGAAGGGCAGTACATCTAAGCAAGAGCTACAAAAGCAAGGGGATAACTATAGATGCAATTTTAGCAAAAGACAGATGCGTGGGGGACTAATGGATGATGCATCACCAAGCTGGCTACACAGCAAGGAAAGATCTGGCTTGAGCTCAACCACATCCAGGGTTGAGCGCTAGCCTAGTGTTCATGTACTTAAAGGATATTTACATCTTCTAGCGGAGTCTGCAGGCTCATCCCATTAGCCAGCGTGGTTACAAAATTCTAGGAGAGAGTAACAAGGGAAAGAATGTCAATTCAGAGCTCAATGGGAACTGATCCGAAGCCTGGATCATTTTAACAACTAAGATTTGGAGAGGGAGTAAGGCAAATAATAAACTGATAAAAGTTGACCAACAAACAAGGAAGCAATTCTGGGATGTTTCTCTATGTGAGGGGTTAATGGTAGTTTCCTGCTAGGCTTGCCTATGGTATCCAGCAAGAACAATGTCCAGAACTGGAAACCAGCATTTAGGATTGCAACAATCCACCTGGAATTACATATGTGAGATGAGCAGATGTATGAATTGAATAAATAACAGGGCGGACAAATGCAAGATCGGAGAGGAAGTCTTCAGCAGTATGTCCTCTATGGTAAAAATAGACTAGCACCCCACCTCCCCCAAAAATGTACGCATTTTCTATTCAACCATATCAGTAAACAGAACTATAGCACACAGAGCAGGGTTGCCTCCAGTCACAAAGAGGCTTTTTATAGGATTATCACAATCCCATGCCAGGAATAGAAAAAAAGTCATCTGAAATACCTGCAGAGCTGCTATGCCAAACATTAAGGTCTCAGTTATACACCTACCAAATGACAACTCTCCACCACCTATTCCCCCTCAGTATGTTCAGATACAGCANGTGGCACGGTCTGGAAAAATAAGTCCATCTGGGGTCTGGCGCAAAATGGATGGTAAAAAAAAAAATTAGTCACAAAACAATATAATCCTTTTTCTTGTAGAGAGTCTAATTTCTTGAGTAGAGGACGGGGCGGGGGGGGTGGGGGGAACGACACACAATATACATGTCAGAATTCCTGTTACTTACAATTATTTATACCCCAACTTTCAGAATAACAATACAGTTCCAAAATACCCAAATAGCTTACAAGCAGTTTAAATGATTCTAAATAAAAATAAAATAAGGACACTTCTAGGAACCTTCTCATAGTATCATGAGTACTAAGGACGTTGTAATGAGGAGTTGGTAACTTAAAGAGATGTGTTAACACAAGTGTTAATTATGAAAAGTAAAAATGGGTAATCAGGATTCAAACAACAAATTGTGACCTGCACAAATTACAAAAAGCCATTTATAATTACTGATACATGTCTGTAGTTTGAAACCATAATACATTAAGAGTCTTTAAATGCAAAACAGGTAACATTCATTCTCAGAGCTTGTCATCCTCATAGGTGCTTAAACTGGGGGTCAGGAATCTGTAGCCCTCCAGATGTTACTTAAATTCAACCCTTGTTTCCATCCTTATTGACACTGTAATTAGACCTTCATCAACTTCAGAGGGCTACAGATACTGCAGCGCGTCCGAGTGTAATAATGATATTAGCATCGATATAAAAACAATTTGCACTGAAAGAAGCTCCTGAATAAGCTGGTTTCAGAATGAACGCCAAAGGGGCTGCCATCATATCCCGAGTGGCTTAAATACTCAATCGGATACTTTTGCTCAATGAAGAGGAATGTTTCATTTACCTTACTTTGAGACAGTCTTTACTTCAGATCATATCAAATTCTGTATTACAGCCCAGACCAAATAAACTTATTAAATAAAATGTATACAGCTGCAAGGTATAAAGAGTAAATTAAAGTATACCAGATAAAGTATTAAGTCATGTTAGCACTACTCTGCTATCGGCAACAAACTGGTGTGGGGGAAAAAAGTTTGCAACTTTTACTTGTGCTTCCCTACTATTCCATTAAGAATGAAATTCTAATTCTGTTTTATGTGACTTATGTGATTAATAGCCAAGGATAGATTTTTCATGAAGCATAAATGTACTTGGGAGACCCATAAGGCATAGTACTTTTGAAAAATAAATACCCGGAAAGAGTATGGTTTACAAGGACAGATTTTTTTTCTGTTAAAAGACTACAGACTCTTAGGAACATACCGTATTTTTCGGAGTATAAAACGCACCTAGATTTTGGGGAGGAAAACAAGGGAAAAATATCTGCCTCTGCCTCTCAGCAACTTGTCTCCTTGCAACAAAGAGTACAGAAAATATACACTGTTTGTAGTGTTATATTTCAGACTATACTTGCACAGACGCTGTTAAAATTGATGTGCTTTCTGGGAGTATAGTTATTCTTTGCTATTTAAAGGAATAGCACTTTTTAAAACAATAGCACGGTGCCTCTTCAGGTCAAGCATTTATTTTAAAAGCCTTCTTCATTTTGTTTTGTCTAAAATAATAATAAAGCATTCTTTAAAAAATAAGTCTAATAATTTGAACATTCTATAGGCATTTATAGTTGTTGACTTACCTCCTTGCAGCAAACAATTTGCCAGGAGGAACAAACAGCAAGTTTCACTTTCAATTTCTCCCCATCATCAGCTGTTACAGGCTGCAGGGATTGGTATAGCTTATTGAAGCCTCCGTGAATCCTGTTTGCTGCAAAGAGACTGGAGGCAGAGGCCAAAGGGTTGGGGCCAGTGGGTGGGGCCATGTTCAGTGTATAAGACGCACCCAAATTTTCACCCACTTTAAGGGGGAGAAAGGTGTGTCTTATACTCTGAAAAATACGGTAGCTCAGCTTGGGAACAAAACATGTTATTATTCTCTTTCCCCATTTTTAGCCAAGAAACTGCAGGTGAGCTTTTGCCAGAGGCACAAATAATTATTTCTAATGGGGTTTTGAAAATGAATCAAGAGCTGAACAAACCCCCTGCTATTATAAATGGTGCCCTTCGGTCTTATTGTATTTTTAAAGGAATTAGTACTGTACTGTTCTGAAAGATTAGATGATTTAGATACTGGAATGAGTCTAATGAATCTGACTATAATCCTGAGACTTTACAGGGACAAGGTCACTCTGAAATGTTCTTTTGGTCAAGAAGCTGATAGCTATTATTAGTGATGTGCAAATTTCTGAAACTGAAATATCTTCTTGTGACCTTGAAATAGCTGCTCTGAGATCAAAACAGCTATTCCATGTGCAAAATGGTATTCTCCAATTATTCTGGAAGTTTTTTTAGTTCAAAATTCATTTCAAACTAGAAATGCTTCCTAGACTACCAAATAGTTCTTTTGCATTCAAAATGGGATGCTTCAATTTAAAATAAGTTTAAAATCAAAACCTTTGAACAAATTTCATCACCATTATCCCACTACACCTTGTCTTTTTTGTCAAATGGAATTTTCCATAATTGAGATTTGAAAATAAGGTAGGATAGAGCCACCTTAGATCTAAGCACCATTGGCAGAAATCAAGGATTGAGACTTACCAACCACTTATCCCGGGCATAGATGACAGTATTGAGCATGGACTCATAGAAGAGACAGTAGCCCATCCATTCACTGATGATGATGTCAACCTTTTCCACAGGCAACTCCACTTCCTCCACTTTGCCCTTGATGATGGACACCACTTTTGTGGAGGAAAACCACATTTTTAAATTATGTTTCAGCAAAAAAGACAGATGGATATCAGTTTGACAAAGATGATTTCTTCATATTATAAGCTCAGTCAAACCCAGCACTTCTAGTTGTAAACTGTTAAACAATCTCACAGGTTGCTAAGTGGATGGAGTCCCAGGTAAGAAACAGTTACTTCATTGAAGTGGGGGAGACCCTGGGACACCTGGCGAAGGCTGTGGGCAGGTCTCTTCCTACTCGGGAGCTGAAAATCCTTCCTGCTGAAATCCAAGCAGGACTTTAAGCTCCAAACCAAGAGTAACGTGGCCTGCACCGTGCCTTCTCCACCTCCCTGAGGCACCCTGTATTCCGCATCTTACCAGGCTGACTTTCTGCTCGGGGACTGAAAATCCTGCTTGGATTTCAGCTTCTTCTTGTTTCTGGGGGTTGGCTGAAAAATTATTTGGCTAAGGATTTCAGCTCCATGCCAAAATCTAAGCAGGAATGGAGCTGAAATTCTTTTGCAAGCTCTTTTATCCAGCCCTCAGAAAAGTAAGAATCCCCTTGGTAGGTGGCAGCATCTTGCAACCTTCCCTATCAACTTCCCCACTGACTTTCCGGAAAAGCCAGCAGAGAAGACAGCGAATCAGGCCCCAAAACAAAGAATGACATGCAGTCGTTCTTTCAAGATGAGTTCTTTTTTGCGTACACATGTATAGACAGAATTTTGCCAAACTAAGCATTTTACTATCTGCATCTACCATACATTCTGGGAATTATTAGGGAGGGGGATGGTTTCATCTTCTTTCTCGCACACAAAGTAACAGGACTGACTTGTCTCTTATTTCCCCTCCCTGCTCCCCTGGGAATCCACCTAACTACATCCCATTGCAAGCACCAACAGGTTGTCACACATTCAGACTGAGCCCATATGACCACAGTGTTTTTTTTAAAAAAATATTTTGCAAGAGTCAGAAGTGCTTTATATGAGCTCATTGTTAATTTGAACCATTGTTAAGTATGGCCCTAGGTTGAGGACTACCTCTAAACATCTTCTGCAAAACAGTGGTTTTTTTGGATACCCAGATAAGTGACTCGGAAATTGAGGACATTTTAAAAAAGGAATTTACTTACCATGGTCAAGTTTGTTGGCTTTGACAATTTTAACAGCATAATCAGAGATACTGGAGCATTCGATCTATTAGTTGTGGGCATAAGTGGAGAACAGGATGGGAGAATAAAGAGAGATGTTTTGTAAGATAATGCATTTTTTCTTCCTAAATTAGTAAGAAACCCCACTGGAAATACATGTGATGAAATTGCACTAAAGAATGTCAAGTGTTAGTATAACAGCAAATGGTCTCTCTCTCTCGCCTGCCATTCCAAATCTTCATAGAAATAACTAAGGTAGATTTATACAATTTTGCCAATACTAATTTTAATACAGAACCCTTAATCTCTGCTTATCAGACCATTTAGCATTCCATCAAATCCTTTCATCTATTTTGCATCCAACAGACGCCATCACAAAACAGAGGCCAATAGCATATGAGCATCGCACTTACCCCAATGACCCGCTTGGCACCAGCCTTGGCTGCAAACATGCAAAGTATTCCTGTGCCACTGCCAACATCCAGGACCACTTTGTCCTTGAAGAGGTGCCGATTGTGAAACATGGAATTTCTGTAGGTCAGTGTCCGGACCTCATCTTTCAGCATTTCCTAAGATGCAGAAAAAGGGCACATCAGGGAACCCTCTTAAAATCTATTTACACACACACACACAAATGAACAAGACTGGATCTCATTTTTATATCCTAAGGCAAGATGGGTGGCAAACAAATTTAATAAATTAATAAATAACCACATCCCCACCAATTCTCTAACCTCATGGATTCCAAAGTGAGCATAGGAATCAAAGTAATAATCCTTGGAAGTCATCTCTTCTGCTGTTGGTTTGCTGCTGTTTTCCAGCTGGGTGCACGAGACCTGGTGAAAATACATAAAGGCCCAAGTCATCCCAGGACCCCCGAATATAATTTACAATTTCCCTAAATTCCATATTTTTTAAGTAAACATTTACATTTGTATTGCTCAACTAATAATTTCATATCAATCAAGATGGTCTATATCAGGGGTGTCAAGCTTGATTTATTCAAGGGCCGGATCAGTAGTTCTCCTCTGCTGGGCAGGGGGTGGGGAAGGGAGAGTCAGGACAAATGCCTCCTGCAGCACTCTGCTCCCTGCCCCGTTTTCGGCCTCAATGGCCTGCCCCCTCTGCCCCGGAGGCCTCACAAGGCCAGTTTCTGGCCGACAGAGTGCTGGAGGCTGGGAAGGCTGAAAACGGGCCACATGGGAACCTCGGGAGGCCTCCGTGTAGCCAGTAGTTGGCCAGCAGAGGCACCGCGGGCTGGTCCTTTGATATTTCCAGGCCAGCCTTGTTGGCCGGATTTAAGCACCCCAATGCCTGATTAAATGGATTTTAAAAACACTGGTACAACAATGTGCTTTCTTAACAACGTTGTGTGTGCAAGAGGCAAAACGCAACAAACATCTTTTCAGAGGTGTCAATGTACATAAACTTTATACAAACAAGTATGCCGCTTAAGAATTATGCAAATTCATACAACTATTAGATGATGGCCAGTTTCGAGTTTCGAGTTTAATAAAATTTGTATGCCGCCCACTCCCATTGGGACTCTGGGCAGCTCACA